ATTGGGTAAGAACATGTGGTAGTTTCTCAGCCCACTACCCCAAGCAGTGTGTTTGCTGTAGCGTATTAATATTAGGCTTTGCTATCCTCTAGAATTGGTTTAGCAAGGATCGCAACTGAAAACTGAAGTCTCTTCAGTTACACGTGTATTCTCTTTTTCCCTCTCCCCATTTTTCGAGAAGATTTTCAAGTTGATATATTTTAGTTTGATTTTACTGTGTGTAATGAATTGAAGAATAAAAACATGACTAAAATAGGTTATTCTAAACTGTACTTCAATAGACAGACACGTTGTTTGGATAGATTTGTTTCGTAACTGATTTTTCAGTTTGATTTCTTATGTTGAAATTAACTCTCAACAAAATGACATTTTGACTCTCGGTAAGCGAAAGCAGAACAATAATGAAATAACATATCAATAGGACTCAATGCATCAACAGATTAATAGCAGCTTCGTGTACGTCTTCTTGTGTTAAAAAATCCAAATAAACTTTTTAAATGAATTAATACAGCTGATATTTGACTGTTATGCTTCAAGAAAATGTAAAAGCGTATTTCTGTTTACCATGACAACAACATGTACGCTGTTTAATTTAAATAAACCATTATAGTTTATGTCTGACTGTTGTGATCCGTGAAAAATCAACTTGTATTACGTTTGGAAAGATTAAGTTCAAAGTGCACTTTGTAATACAGCACGTTTTATGGACACTCCTGTAAACGTCCAAGTTCACGTAGAGTATTATCTGCTTTCCATAAAAGAAAAAAAAAGTATATCGTAGCACGTGAAAATGAAAACAAAAATCATAAACCATTTTTAATATCAGGCTGATTCTGAGAAGGGAAAAAATACTTGTTTCTGTTTAAATAGGAATTCAATTTTCTTAGTAAAGACCTTCATTATAATATTTATTTAATCTGTATATTAACTAGACACTGCTTACGTTGGCGTGGCATAAATTTTGTAATTTGTCAAAAGAGATCGCTTTATTTGCATACTGAGTACTATTTATTCATATTCTGTTGAATTTTAAACCAAAAGAGCATAAAAAAATAGAATTAAAAGGCACACAATATGACAATTGTTTCAACATCATAACAAAACTTTTTGATTTATGTCAATTCCGCACGCCATATGAGAAAGAATTCAGTGTCAGTAAATCTTATTATCTTACAGATATTCCATGTACAGAGGGTAGTTGTAAAAACCACCGACAGGCTTACTAATTTTATCTTTTCGTTGTATTGTTAGAAAAATTACTGGTATGCCTATCCAACAAGGATGTTTCTAGTATATATCACAGAAATACGATCTGGCTACTGGAAGGCTAAGGATGAGGATGGTGGTCAGACGAACATTGTTATTTTCGTCAAAATTTTCTTATAGTAATGCTGCTGTATAAATCATATGAGAAGGGCAATAATTCAAACTCAAACAGCATGAGTAAATACCGGAGCTGGGTGTGAACTACTGAATCCACATTAACAACTTAGACTCACGTGCAAAGGTTTTAAACAGAAGATGTTTTTACACGGAGAAATAGACCGCGGTTTTTCACACCTGGTGCACGTTAGCTCACACACACACACATATATATATATCTTATCTGGTTGACTTTCTCCAAGTGCGCTCGTATAAGATGTTAGTAATGGCAGCTCATACTGTTGATCAAACTATGAAATGAAACTACAGAATATGAACTGGGAATACTAACAGGAAAAAGAAAGGCAAGAGCACAAAAGTTTTGCCCAACTTACAACTTTACATACAATTTACTGTTATATTTACTATTTTTATAAAATTTGGTCCAATAACTTAACAAGAGATTGCGATAATCGGTTTTAGTACTCAAACATTTTTGTTTGGTTTTATATATATGTGTTAACTTGTACTTTAGATCTAATTTTCTTATTTCTAATAGATTCGTGATAATGTTTTATTCTTTTCAAGATTAGTAGGAACCGTAGGCTCATTATACGTACATGATGTACAAACATTTTATATTTGAAATTTCCAAGATCGTAAAGTCCTCAACAACATTTTTAGCTATTAACAAATTTATAAATAGATAGATACGTAACCGAGGAAGTTATCGTAGTCTTACATGGTAGAGTTCATAAAAATGACATTGAGCCTTATCACTATTTCGTTATAAGGTTTTTAATTAACGTCGACCTCTTTCAAGAACGTATGAGAAACAGGTTTAACTGATCGGAAGTGGAGCATTTTGCAAAAATTTCAAATGATGGTACAGCATGTGTGGAAACTACGTTACTCCAATACAAAACTATCGCTGACAACAATGTGGGCCCCCCAGTAGCACAGCGGTATGTCTTCGGACTTACAACGCTAGAATCCGGGTTTCGATACCCGTGGTGGGCAGAGCACAGTATAGCCCATTGTGTAGCTTTGTGCTTAATTACAAACAAACAAACAACAATGTGAAAAAGAGGAAAATAACATAAGGTTAACATTTTTACATAATCAATAAATAACTAAAAAAAAACATAATGAAAATGTAAAAAATTCATATAGAAATTAGAAAGTGTCTTCAATTTCTAAAGCAAAAAAAAAATTAATAGAACATCCTAAGTTATGTATACATATTTTTGATCTATTTGGACATGTCTTCATATTGCTGTGGTATAAAATGGTAAAGGCGAAAGAGCGCATTAGGCCTAACAAATGTGATGAAAATCACATCTGACTGAAGAGTTTTTGTCACATTCCACTTAATTGGCTCATTATGAATTTCAAAGATGGGGTTTCTAGGACTAGCATTTCAGATGCATCTTTTGTCAGTCATAAGGCAGCGCTCATAAGACTTTCCATTCACTACCCAACACTAATCAACTGGACTAGACTTCTGACAGTTGAAAATTTATATGAATGCTCGTTTATTCTTCTTTGATTAGAAATCCGTTATAGGGTCATTAAGATAAATGTAATTTAGTCTAATCTAGTTTTCATGGTTGTTATGTTTATTTGGCACACACTATAATATTGTTGCTGACAACAAATTGTTTATCAGTCAAAGACTTGTTTTATCCGTGCAAAGAAAATTAAAACTTGCAAAAATTTAGGGTTATGGGACCTAATGAGGACGGGAATTAGATATAAGAACAAAGTAAAAATTTTACTGTGTGCGTCCATTTTGTATCTTTTATTACTAGTAATCTCCCCCCCCCCAGTGACACAGCGGTATGTCTGCGGACTTACAACGCTAGAATCCGGGTTTCGATACCCGTGGTGGGCAGAGCACAAATAGTCCATTGTGTAGCTTTGTGCTTAATTACAAACAAACAAACAATTGCTAGTAAAATTTGTTTACACTGTAGAAACGTCTTTAGATTATCAGAATGCTCTAAACTATAGTAAAAAGATAACGTATCTACACAATATTTGTCAAGCTCTTTTGTTGAATAGATTTATCCTGCTTGCTTTGTTGTTAGCGATCATGGAATCGATCAACCAATCACAGTGTCCACGACGATGCCACTACTAAGCTTCGAATAAGATGTTCTATTGACACATTATTACTTTTCACCATGATACTCATTATTCACGTTCTATGTTGGTTACTTTTAAAGGCAGCTCTGTCTGTTTTGGTCTGTTTTTGAATTTCGCGCAAAGCTACACGAGGTCTATCTGCGCTAGCCGTCCCTAATTTAACAATGAAAGACTAGAGGGAAGGCAGCTAGATATCATCACCCACCGCCAACTCTTGGGTTATTTATCACTCGGTATTCCAAAGGCAGATCACGACTGTAACTGAATTGCAGAATAAATGAAACATAGTTTTATGTGTGTGTGTGTGTGTTAAAAGTAAATTATTCACTTTTCATATTTTTTAAACAAAATGGTAGTACTATCTTGACTTTACACGCAACTGTATGCATAGGGTCTTTCCATTTAATGTTGTTGTTTTTTGTGGGTATCTATCCTCATTTTGTGTTAATGAAACGTTGTACGTGTTGTACGATTATAAATACCCACTAGAGAGCGGAAACTGGAAAATATCTGTGAATAACATCTGACTCCAGGTATGTGAAACACAGGAAATGCGGTACAACAACAACAGAGATTGCTCGTACCAGCTGCTTTGTCTGTCACTTTTATAACATGTATTCTGAAGCTTTAATTTAGCGCCGTCTAGAGAGTAGGATGTTTATGCTTATCTCAGCTTTTTTTTTTTCTCTCGAAATTTCACTAAACTAACTCAATGTTCAGGTACACAGAAAAAAAGGGTTAGGTACTCGAAAATAACTCAATATAGCATTTCTGGCTATTATTCTAACTCGTAGTTTATTCTTTAATAAACAGAGTTAATTATAAAGGAAATGTTGTGTTATTATATCAGCAATCACCAGAATATGGAAATTTGTTGTTTGAATTTATAACTTGTCACAGAAATCATTGTCAGTAACTTATCTTGTTTATAGAATGACATAATTACTTTACGTTACTAGTTTAACAGACAAGTGTCGAGCTGGAAAATTAATATTAATCATTCGAAAAATTTTAGTTTATTTTGAATTTGGCGCAAAACTACACAAGGGCTTTCTATCTGTGCTAGCCGTCCATAATTTAGCAGTGATAGATTAGAGGGAAGGCAGCTAGTAAACACTACCCACCGCCAACTCTTGGGCTACTCTTTTACCAACAAATAGTGGGATTTACCGTCACATTATAACTCCCCCACGGCTAAAAGGGCGACCATGTTCGATGACGGGAATTCGAATCCGCGACCCACAGATTGCGAGTCGAGCGCCCTAACTATCAGGCCATGCCAGTTTTTGAAAATTTTGATTCACTGAAAGAAAAACAGGAAGTGTTTGATAAACTTGAAAAATTTAGCAGAGTTAATATTTTGATTCAGTGAAAGAATAACAAGAAGTGTTAGATAAACGTGACAAATTAGGGTTAAGATTTTATAACAACATTACCTACACTTTAAGTATGCTTTCAGAACTTAATGTTTACTTTTGATTTTTTTACAGAATCCTGTAAAACAGCCCTTGGGATGAAATCGGGTGACATTAAAGATGAAGATATCACAGCAAGTTCATCATACAACGATGCTGTAGGTCCCAGAACAGCCCGGTAGGTGGCGTTTATCAATAATATTAAATAGTAGGCTAAAAGAACGATGATTAAAATGACATTTCTGTAATAACAATCATTTCCGAACTTTTTATAGCTGTGAATTTCGGCTCCTGTTGTATATAAGATTTAAAAGGTATACAGAGGAGAAAAACTATATTGTTTTATATGTAGATATCTCTATATTGCTATATTAAAGATATTAATTAGATTATATCGGTGACACAACATTAAATAGCCACCTTATATGCAACACTATTGAGTTTCATAAATCTGCAATATTAGTGTACCATGAAAGGTTATGAAAATTATGGGGAACTTATATTTTATTTCTGTGAAACAATAAAGATATGGTTGAAAACTATTAAACTGGCGCTTTAAATGTTTTAAATATCTTAATTGTTTAAAAATTATTTAATATTTATAATAATATAAAAGAACTTTCAATGACAATAAAAAACTAAATTTGTTCTCGATTTTTTGTAGTAAATGCCATCCTTCGGCTCCGCAATAAGCTTCAGGTTTATTACGCTAGAACTGTGGGTTCGATGCCTACAGTAGACAAAGTCCACTGTGGAGCTTTGAGATTAAACGACCAAACTTTAGTAAAAAAAAAATTGTAAATGATTCCCGATACTGAAAACTAAGCATAAGCCTACTGTTGGTGATAAAAAAAAATGCTGAAAAACAAACGGACAGGAGCTGCCTTGATTTCATCAGTTAGATCTAAATAGGGGACATAATGTTGGTACGCGAACAACTTTTGTTGCCCTGATAGCCACGGGGCTGCTCATGAAGATCCAGAAAGTAAGGGAGAAAGTAACTGAAGTGTGAAACAGCAGAAATGTATCTCACTGGGGGAGCTCTAGAGGATTAGAAATTTACTAAAGAAAAATATAAACACCCGTATCATGAAAACGTTGGTGGAACATTAAGGAGAACTACAAAATAGAAGGGTTTTAAATAAAATATTTTAATCAAATTAAATCTGAGAAGCGGTTTCTAAAGTTGGAAAATGGGGGAAAATAAAGCTGGGATTTTCTTGTGATACAATGGGAAAACAATATCCATAGGAATATGAAGAAAGGCTTATTGAATCATGTTAATTGAAAGACTTTAAAACTGATATAAAGCTTCATAAGTAAGTTTTTCCTAATTTGAAACTTAATTTTTATTCATCAGTTTCACGTATTAAAAGACAAGGTTATCGGTTTTAAATGGTAAACCATAAGATAATTGTTAACGTTCTGTACATTTATTCCGAGAAGTCACTGTTCGGGATCTGTTGCTGCATATACGCGCTCAGTACTTTGTAGGCCGTTAGTGCAGTATAAAAGTGACAGTCAAATCTCACTATTCGGTCATATAAGAGTAGTCAAAGAGTTGACAGTGGGTCTTGTTAACTTGTTTTCTTCCCTCTAGTCTATCATTTCAAAATTCATGACGGCTACATACCGATAGTCCTAGCGTAGCTATGCGCCAAATTTCGAAGCAAACACTTTTCGAAACATGACAAATATGCCAAACAAAAGTCATGGAGCTATCCTATGAAAAATTGAAGTAATGTTAATCATGTCGACATGTACAGTGGTAAAGAAATCCTAAACTCTCTTGGAGCGCATCAAAATCGTAGATAACGCATTAGTGAAGTTATTTTGTTAAGACTCATAACATAGGTAAATTACTATGTAGAATTATACGGTCTGTTCTCTACTTTAAAATATTGTTGCCCAATGAAGGCTTCGGTAATACAGTCGAAAACTCACAAGAAAATTGTTTTAACGTAAAGAACAGTCCGTATATAATTCTATACATTAAGGAAGTTGTTAATCAATTTATTTTTATAACATAATTATCAGTTTAAACTATACTGACTCCTGTATTTGTTTTGGCTTTGTTTTTATGCTGTTTATTATTCTAAAATATTCGTAAATGTTCATGCTACAATGAAAATGTAAATTGTCGATTGACCTGACCTGGCCTCACGTGACCTGACAATAAACTTTTGAGTGTTGTTGAACTTAACTCATTTGAATTTGTAAAGTACATTTCTATCAACTCAACGGTATTTGGACAAACACGTACTGAATATTAACAGTAAATACAGCGTTTTGTTTCGCAGTTCATATTAGTGAGGCCCATAAATATCTGTTTATATTGGTAAGGCCCATAAATATCTGTTTTTTCTAAGGCCAGGCGTGGCCTAAAAGTTAGTATGTCTAGAATGAGAATGTGTCCCATTGCTGTTGATGCTTTATAAGAGTGACAACCAAACTCCTTTATTCGATCATATAATAGTTGCCTGAAGTCTAGCAGCTCAAAATTAAGGGATGGTTATACGCAAATAGATCTTTGTGTAATTTTGAATGAAAATTCCGAAACAAACTGTTTATGTGCATTATAGCCCGTAACTTTTGTGTTTATTTGTTGATTGTAAAATAACCTACAGTGTTTTTAGATAAAATATGGGTGATAATTGTAATTACCAAAGAAAATAAAGCAGGTTATGTAAGTCGGTAAAAAATCAAAACAAGCTACAAGTAACAGGGGATGATTAATAAACAGCAAAAGAAAATATAAATAACATAGGGTTCTTGAAAAAAAAGAAAGAAAATATTTTAGGAATTAAAAGATAAATTTCTATCGAGAAGCTAGAGATATTGACAATGGGATATGTTTTGGCTAAAAAATAAAACTTAAACAGCCGTGAGGTTTAAAACAATTAAGATAGTACAATAAAGAAATTTTGGATCAGAACAAGCAGACAAGTTTTAATTGTTTTGTTTGTTTGTTCTTAATTATGCACAAAGCTACACAAGGGCTATCTGTGCTCTGCCCACCACGGGTATCGAAACCCGGTTTCTAGCGTTGTAAGTCCGCAGACATACCGCTGTGCCACTGGGGGGCCAAGTTTTAATAAAGAATTAAAATCATTTTCAACCAAGAAGGAAGAATAATTATTTTAACTAAGAAATAAATATATAAATAATAACATTAGGACGACTTTAAATTCCTTTACTGGGTTATACAAAACTCTCATTTGTTTTGGATAGAATACAACCTATTGTATATAGAGAACAAAATGCTCATCTGCGTGACATAGTTGAATGTTTGGTGAGTGGCACTGTTCACCTGATAACTGAGGCATCATACAACCTGTATAGTGAGCAGTTGTTGACGTACGAAACTCTGACAGATCATGTCTTTGTGTTTGTCACTAAGCAAGTAAGGTTGAGTCCACCAGAAATGTCGATAACCCACTAGCTTTTTGCTTGTATCCAGAGCTTAATGAGCCCTGCAGGAGGAATGAGGAGAGTATCTGCATGCTCGAGTGTTGTTCTCTCTCTTGGCCATCACAAGTACCTCAACAATAGTAGAGCCTCAAGTTGACAGAGACGAACGACAAAAGCTCCGCAAGGATTTGCCAGAAGCCCATATAATGAAACATTCTAGTATTGAAGTATCCTGATGTAAGCCATGTGCAATTGAGACAATAAATCCCTTGTAGCTCGTTTCAAGATGTTGTTAGCTCGGTGATAAATGGCGCTAGGGCCTCAGATGTTGTGACGGACAGTCTTGCTTGATATTACACCAATTGTTTTTGGAGATACTAGGTGAAATAGATCAGCACTCAAGGCCTAACAACCACTTAAAACGGCTCAAGAAAAGAATTCTGCAGAATCCTGTAGTTTCATGTTGTTCGTTGCATTTCTTGATAAGCTTTACGCGTGGCGATTATCATCTTAGCAATGATAAATTTCTTAACACTCTTGGCTGATTACAACCAGTGGCGTAACAAAGTATTTTTGCGCCCGGGGCAAAATTGACGAACTGCCCAAATACACACTTTATATAATCATAAAGCAAAAACAATTCTGTATATGATAATATATAATAATAAAAATATAAGGGAAACTTTTCCCATATCAAATTGTCAGATTAAGTTCTCATATATTTGTTACGATAGCTGAAGCTCTGCGTCCCTTCCGGGCTGGGCCGGGAAGCTGCCCCGCTCGGTCCTCCCTAGTTACGCTACTGATCTCAACATTCCCTTTTGCCTAGTTTTAATTGCTCTATTTTTCTATACATCAATTCGTTAAGAAAAATTGTTAAATATGTAACGGTTATATTAATGATATATTGTTTCTTCACAATCAAACATGATTTGACCGGTAGTCGTGTTGTTCTTCCAGTCAACCATAACATTCCTCTACAAAAATGTTGGCTGAAACAATGAAAAAGGCCATCCTTAAAGATGTGACAACCTACATCGATACAATCTTATCGAATGATAATTGATCTATATATATATAATGTTACGGCTTTTCAGTCAGTGCCTTCAAGTTACTACTCGCCATTCTTTAACTTAATATAAATGTTTGTTGAAGTGTAAAAACGCACCATGGGTTTTTGTGCCGCAGGGTTTGAGCCCCTAATTTCAACTTTATAAACCTCCAAGCCTACCACTGAGCCACCGTATGGGATCAAGAGTAAGTGGTACGAATACTCTAAGTGTTTTATGTATGTTTCAAGAGTAAGTGATACGAATACTA